TAGCTTTGACTTCTGAGATTAGTTCCCTTCTAAGATTTAATGTGGAATTGAATCTATTTCGGGGAGTTATTAAGATTATTAAGATTGTCAGTGCGATATCCCTTTACATGTAAGAGGACTACGCAATATGTAAATCATTGGCCAGGTTTTATGGTTATTTGTCTATTTTTTTGTAAAACTATTTATCAAATTTTCTAAATCATTTGAAAAAATAATATAATGCGCTTTTCTTTCCCATTTCATACCCAACATGCAAGTAAAATGAGAAAAGAAAAAATAAACAAAACAAGAAAAAACACACACAAAAAAAAAAAAAGCAATGAGAGTGTTACATGACGACCCGCATCCAGAGAATCATATCAAAATCCTTTTCGGAATAACAGCGCCAACGAACACGTTAAAGCGAACAAGCCGTTCTGATTAGCCGTTTCCTCCTATTGCAACATCACTAATATACTACATTCGAAAACAACAATGTATTGATGCTCCTCAACCTCGAACCGCGAGCTGCAGGTTCTAAAAGCCGCTCCTCTAATGGAGATAGGAATAACACATATGGATTTCGAATCCATGAGGTATATATAATTCGTACAGATAATGCTAGTTGTCTTGTCAGTCAGGATTCGATTACAATATTAGGGTCTAATCTAATTAGCAGAATCTCTACCGAATGCGAGATGTATTGTGTGCGAGTTGGATTGAATCATATACACATTATATTGGGGTTTAAATTTCTAGCAAGATATACAGGTGGCCTTTTGACCGACAGCCTTCCATCTCCTTAAGCAGTTGTGCAATATTACAGTCTCTTTATGCAACATTAGGGCGATGGAAAGCACTAACATTCAGAATCAATAACTTTGAACTAACTCCAGGAAATCAGCGCTAATTTACAGTAATTTGTATATCGTTATGCCTAGGTTGAGAATAATGTCAATCTCGGGTTGTCGTCCCGTAGACTTATCACATATCCCTTAGGACGCTGAATCTCACTCTTCGCCAGAACTAGATTATATAAAAATGGGACAACATTATAGCGAAAAAATAAAAACAACCAGATTATATAAGAATGGGACAACACTATAGCGAAAGAATAAAAAACAGAACCAGATTATATAAGAATGGGACAACACTATAGCGAAAGAACAAAAAAACAGAACCAGATTATATAAGAATGGGACAACACTACAGCGAAAGAATAAAAACAGAACCATATTATATAAGAATGGGACAACACTATAGCGAAAGAACAAAAACAAAACCAGATCATATAAGAATGGGGCAACACTACAGCGAAAGAATAAAAACAGAACCATATTATATAAGAATGGGACAACACTATAACGAAAGAATAAAAAAACAAAACTGAACCAGATCATATAAGAATCGGACAAAGTTACAGCGAAAGAATAAAAAAAACCCAGATTATATAAGAATGGGGCAATATAGCGAAAGAATAATAAAAAAAAAAACAGAACCAGATCATAGAAGAATGTGACAAAGTTACAGCGAAAGAATAAAAAGAAGAATCGATAAGCCACGAGCGAAATACCGTTAGTGAAAGCCCGAGTGGGATCGGATTCCATTTCACACGATCACAAAGTTACAGCGAAAGAATAAAAACAGAACTAGAGATATATAAGAATGGGACAAAGTTACAGCGAAATAATAGAAACAGAACCAGATGATATAAGAATGGGACAAAGTTACAGCGAAAGAATAAAGACAGACCCAGATCATATAAGAATGAGACAACACTATAGCGAAAGAATAAAAACAGAACCATATTATATAAGAATGGGACAACACCATAGCGTAAGAATATAAACAGAACCAGATCATAGAAGAATGGGACAAAGTTACAGCGAAAGAATAAAAAAGAAGAAGACCTTTTCCATCGATACGCGTAGCCACGAGCGAAATACCGTTAGTGATAGCCCGAGTGGGATCGGATTCCATTTCACACGATCACAAAGTTACAGCGAAAGAATAAAAACAGAACCAGATTTTATAAGAATGGGACAACACTATAGCGAAAGAATAAAAACAGAACCAGATTATATAAGAATGGGAGAAAGTTACAGCGAAAGAATAAAAACAGAACCAGATTTTATAAGAATGGGACAACACTATAGCGAAAGAATAAAAACAGAACCAGATCATAGAAGAATGAGACAAAGTTACAGCGAAAGAATAAAAACAGAACCAGATTATATAAGAATGGCACAACACTATAGCGAAGGAACAACACTATAACGAAAGAATAAAAACAGAACCAGATCATAGAAGAATAGGACAACACAATAGCGAAAGAATAAAAAGAGAACCAGATCATAGAAGAAGGGGACAAAGTTACAGCGAAAGAATAAAAAGAAGAAGACCTTTTCCACCGATACGCGTAGCCACGAGCGAAATACCGTTAGTGATGGCCCGAGTGGGATCGGATTCCATTTCACACGATCCCGCTGCCGTTGCATTGGGTTGCACGGCTTGATTGAGT